TTCAGCATTCGGATGTTTGGGCAATATCGGTATTTTTGTTTAGTGTGTTAGGAAACCATAGAACCCAGAGGAAACACGTACAGAATAGGGCGAGGACATACGTATGTAGCCGAAACGTCGTGAGAATTGTATTTTATTATGTTTAATTGTTATTCTTTTATTATTTCCCTTCTACGTGACTTCACCGAAAGAACCAAGAAGATACGTATGTATGTTGAACTTCTTTCGTACCCTGCTAGTACAACCTCCTCAAGGAAAGGCGCCCGAATCGGGAATCGAACCCAGACGCATCTTGCCGTGAGACGCACGTGTTCACCAGTGCGCCGCCCTGCTGTGTTAACTGCGCTCTATAATGTGCACGTGATGTACCATGAGCAGGTCATCCGGAACGTGACAGAACCACGTGGATCGCCGAAGCAAAGCAGGATGTTTTTTTTTTTACTGGGATAGCACTTTTAAAAAATGGATGATCACCATCCCGTCCTCACCAAACAGCACCGGCCACAGTGGAGCAAGCATTGCTCAGTAGTCCTCACCACGGCGCGCAAGGCGTGAGAAATGGATCTCATCGAGCAGTGGACTGGGCAATACACGTTGTGTGCGTGCACGCGAGAGGGGTACAGGTTATTTCGTTAAATAGGCGTTTTATAAGGGTGTCGTGACACGAAACCCGACCTCCGTTCTGTCTCCACAATCCGAATCAAATGGAGTTTGGATAAAGTCCATCGGCGTCTTGGCTTTCCAGGCCCAATATTATCCAGCTCGGATTTGTTTCATCAAATAACAACTGGAGCCGGTTTCTACCTTTGGGGGTCTCGTCAGCGAGCAATCGGGCCTGTTCATAAATGAAAGCACATGCTGCTGGGTTAACAGGTGTTATTGGCAAGATCGTGCCATCTAAATTATGGGGCCAATATTCATTATGCCCCTGATTTAACGAATACAAAAAACATCCAAAATCAATTGGGTACCAAGCAGCTATATTGCGTAAACTTGTGCCCGGTGCAATTTAAAATGCAAACGGTTGTCTCTACAGTAAAGCAAAGATATTGCACACTTAGACATTGTGTGCTGGACGCTACCTTCAACCGCAAGTGATCAAAGATATAAATTTGGGTTTGTAAACTCGTAATAATGCACATTACGACATATACACGGTATATACTGTCTATGTATGTGTACTGAAATGTGTATCCGTGTAGATGTATTACACCGAATATGCATGCGAATTTTAGAGAGTGCAAATGTTCGGTATTGCAATAGTAGACTGTACTTTAAAAAGTGCAATGTTGAGATTCGTTTTAGTAAAAAAACACAATAGCACGGAATGGGTGCTCGATAATAATTGTGTAACAATGGGATAAGCGTAATTATTCGTTCATTGTGTGTACAACTATTGATTTAAATGTTGTAAATTCTCTGCAGTAGAGCGCCATGCGTTCTTGCGTTTGATTGATACATCACAAGGGCTGTCTGTTCACACCGTGTGAATTATTATGCGTTGCTATTGAAAAACACTTTATTCGATAAAGCCATTGTCTTCATCTGAACTGCGTTACTCAACCGGCTTGTATCACGCACAGTACGTGGGCTATTAATACATGTACAGCCCCCCCCCCCGCCCCCCTGTCAATCCGCTGCTGGATGAAGACTTCCTTCACCAATTGTTTGATCATATTTGACCGCACTGGTCAGTGCGGATTAGTGAAAGGGGCTCGGTTTACACATCACTCGCCACTGATGTTATCCGTGGCTGGCAATCGAACCTCCAATTTTCCGGGTTGACAAGTGTGCTGCTAACCACGGTATCGCACCACTCCCACCACCTATGTTACGATTATAAAACGTTGATATTTACTAATTTAATAATGCTCGGTTGTTAATCGTACATCTCTGTGTCACTAAAGGTGAGTAATTCAAGTTAAAGAAGCGTTAATTTTGGAGCTTTCGTGACTGCAGGAATTATTCTTTGGTTCTTTCGGTTAAGTCACGTCTAAAGATAATATGCTATTATTTAATTTATTATTTTATCTTTAGACGTGACTTACTTAACCGAAAGAACCAAAGAATTAACGAAGCGTATTCCTTGTGTAAGTGTTTGGGACATGTAATAAAACCTGCAGTTTTCCCTTGAATAATCTTGTTCTGTTAGTTCGTGCCATTGAACCTAGCTATATATATAATGTGTATTATATTATTACAGGTGTCCATTGAACAGTGCTGCTGTTGCGTTATGAGCTTTTCGTAATGTTGGTTCCTATTTGCTTCCTTTCGGAACGACCGTATTCTCCAGATTAGAAGCCGCTCAAGAAAAGTAAGACGAACATGCGCCCAGGGTTAACCATCCAGTCATAGAAATCTGATCTCACACACACCCTACCTACTACTCACGGATTATAAAACATACCCCCAAAGTGTGCTTTAACGTACAGGGGGGGGGGGGGAATCAGTGCGTCTTACAATCCGGAGAATACGGTAATTTCAAATTCGCTTTTCACGTTATGCCCTGTGCAATAATGGACACGTAAAATGCCCATACAGGTCATGTCCTGTCACGTCGCACTGTTCCAGTATTCCCATGAAGTCCGATTACTGCAGCGTTATCAGTTGACTCTATGTGCCAAGTCCTTTCTCAAAGACGTCGGCGATTATGACCGTGATGTCAATCAAAAACTTTGCAGCGAGATACCTCCCATGAGCTTGTGTTGCGCCCGAAACGTCGTGATTTATTTCATTTTATACCTACGTGACTTTACCGAAAGAACCAAAGAGTATGGATTCCTGCAGTCACAAAAGCTTCAAATCAAGAGAGATACCTCCCAGTTTCATCCAATTGTTCAAAACTGCTCGTGCCCTTCATTAGTTGTCTTCCCCTGCTTCTTGTGTCTTTCTGTCTATCTCTCTAATTGTTTCGGTTGACACACACACAGAGAACACGTGTACAGATGCAGAATGTACAAACGACAGTTCCACGTCCAATGTGCACATTCACAGGCCGCATGTCAATCGGCCACGCTTTGGTGGCGGGGTCTCCCCGCGCCGTGGGTTTCGCTGCGGGTTTTCTCCACCACACTTCAATCGCGCTGCTCGGCGCGGACGGGCTCGTGCAGAGGCGAGCCTTTAAAAAGGTTAGACACCTTGTCAAAGGAAAAAATAACCCCCGAAAATAATACGAATAAAAATAAATGACCACAACGTGGCGGCGGCGGCGCGCGCGCGTGAATATATAAGTATATGGTGTGGAATGACAAGTAAAAATGTGCCCTACGTTTAAAGTCCAGGCCGTGTAATCGCTATCCATGCCCCTAGGAGCCCGTGAAATCCCCTCCCTGTGCGCGGCGCATACACACAGAGAGACCCTGCTGCGTCGCGTGCCGAGCATTCGCGTGGAATCGCATCGCGCGAATTGGTTTCCCATGCACGTGTGGTCCGCTGCATCAGCTGTGAAAGGACCAAGGCGCACGACTTCATCACAGCGGGTCCCCCAGTCCGTACGCTTTTGCCAATTCGTGGGTCAAGTGCGCAGCGTCGCCTATGCGCGGTGGATACGTCCAGTTTCTTGCGCTTACGAGACTATCGTGTGTCATCGCTGTATAAGAGCGTTGTTGTTAAGATCAGGGTTTGGTGTTATCGCTCGATATTTTCCGGAATGCTGCCCGGGCTGGCTTGGAATAGTGATTATCGACGTAAGGCACTACCACGAGAGTACCAAGGTCGGTGTATCCATAACAATATTGATAGTGATCGATTATTGTGTCCTCTATATATAATCATGTGAACAGATTCGAGGGCAAAACAAATGCGGCATTCCAAATGTATTTCCCGGCGCAGCATTCCGGACGTTTGCGGGTGAACTTGAGCACTGGTTTAGGGCTTTGCCTGCTTTCTATCGGCTTCAGCGTCGCACACAACGGGAGGCGAATTACTTGGTTCGCTGATTACGGAAAACGCGTAATTGCGTTCAGCGAGATACTTGCATCAATGCCAAGAATAGAGGGGGGTTTGGGGGGGGGGGTTAGATCGAGCAAATATATGAATGTGTCGTTAAAACCCGCCACCACCCGACACAGCCAACTAGTGAGGGTTGTCACGTAAACAGAACGTGCCAACATGCCACTTGAGGACGAGCACCCCCCCCCCCTTGCCTCGCAGTGGGAGGCCACATTCGAACGTTGTAGTTTTCGCATGGTTTTAGCGAGGCCCGTAATGCAGACGCGGTGGGATTTGTGGCACGGTAAAGCGTTCAAGCTCTTTAAGAACACCATTCGAATTGACGTGAAATCATTCACCATCGTATATATGGCAGGGCTTATTTTAGTTTCGATGTTTCTAAAAGTGTTTGAAAAAATTTTTTTGCAATTGTATAGCGTAATACCACGTGACTTTATGGAAAGAACCAACTTGTGTTCGGTAACGATTAATGAGGACCATTTTTATATTCTAAATAGTTGTTCAATTTAATGTAATGGCATTCATAGTAGCAGAAAAAAATGAAATGCAGTTTTTTAAATATATAAAAGTAGTTTGGTTAAAAAATCTAAGCTATCTTGCTTGAATTCCTGAAAAAGACAACTCTTTGGTTTCAGCCTGCACAAATGTGTTTAAAGTTTTTTTAGTCAAAACGTCGTTTGTTTCCGGTGTATTTAGCATTGGTGCATGGTGTTTAGTGTGTGTGTCTGTGTAATGTTGATATGACAGCAATTGTAAAATATAGTACTTTTTTATAACGTGTCATTAACACATTGTTAGATTCATACACGCGTACTTCTATGAATACGTCAATGTGTTGGCTTTAATAGCTTATATCAATGTGTTGTTATTATTACTCGTTAAATTTGACGTCAGTAATTACCTCACATGATGGGCAATAGGACAATCACACCAAAGCATATCACAGGCATATTATGATTTTAAATACATAGCTTTGTCATCATTCGAGTAAAATAATATTTCAATTAAACTACACAATAATATATCTTAGCATAAAACTATAAGCCAGGTTTCAGTTTAGATAAAGCTTTATTTGTGCTCCATAGTCCTATTATACAATAAAAACAGCTTATAAAATACATCATAGTTACACCATCCTGCATTCCACAACAACAAAAAATATACACATTAATGAAGACTTGGATTTTGTTGTCATCATAGTGTATAAATTTGTTTTGCTATCATCGTACATGCAGATTTTAAGGGCACTTAATCTGATATTTATAATCACTATTTTAAATAGCATTTGCAGCAATATTTTTTTCTGCTAAATTCAGCATTAGTGACTCGTAACTACACAAAATATATACACAAAGTGACAACAATGTTTTAATCAATGAAACCCTCCTTCTATGTAATACTCTTATGTGAGAACTTTTTTCAGTGATCTGGAGAATCGAAGATTTCATTTAATACTTTCAATGCAGCAAAGTCGACAAAGAAATTAAAGTACATTTGAAGTTGTGATTGTTGTCCACGTTTTGAGATATTGTTCAAGAGCAATGAAAATGAAATGCTGTTACAAAAACCACGTTCGGCACATTTTATCAAGTAGCATAGAGGTATTTTGCAACATTTATTCATAAGCATAATATTGCTGTGCTAACATTCCACACGTTCAAGTAAAACGTTACTTGACAATTAAGAATGGATTAACATTGCATAATGCTGACATTGACAAACGTTTCTTTTTGTGCCTTCGTAAGAACGGTGCTGCCTAAAACTAAAGTACAATTAAATCACTTTCAGCATGAAAATATAATTGTATTGCTGTGCTTGTGTAAAAGTTTGTTGCTAACTTTTTTTTTCATTTGTAAACCATCTCAGAGATAGTTACATGTTCAATGAAGCTGCATCAGCCCGATAATCCATAGGCTCATAACATATTCGTATATCATTAAATGTACAGCAACAATTTTCGCGTAATGGAAACAGCGTACGGCAAATGTATCAAGCATGTCGATGAAAATGGCCTCAAGTGTAGAGCTGCATGCAAGTTTAGGGATTACTCTGCTGAAATTTAAAAAGGTAGCAAGAAGACCTATAGAGGCCGTCCTTCGAGAAAAAAAAAATCCCAAGCCGTGCACTTTTTCTAGATGAATATCGAAGAACAAATTCATTTGCTTACTCTGAGTAGCCATGGCTTTTTTCCTCGTATAATCTTGTGAATATAAACTTTTGAATGCGTCTCACAAAGACATGAAGAAAGCGCAGTCCTTAGTTTCTGGAGTGTTTTTTTTTAATGGCTTCTCCATAAAGCTCACATGATGTCTTCGGCAGATGGCGACCCGTGCCCCGTCTAATCAATCAGTCGCCAAATCAGTTTGCTTCGGACTGTCGACATCGGCCGGGGTAGGTGAAACATCTTCCCAGGGCTGTCAGCCACCTCTCTTGTGTCTCTCCAGCTCACGTATTTGTCCACTTGTTGTTGTTGTTGTTTTTCCACCACACATTTTCGTGGGTGACGCTGTAAAGTTTCCGGGAAGGGCATCTCCACTTGCCGTTGCCATTGCTCGCATTCTCTCCTTATCAGCACCAAGCTGGGTGACAGACGAAGACACATTGGTGAAGGCGAGTATGGGGGGGGGGGACGAGGCATGCTAATTCGTATGCAGAAAGACATTTTTCAAAAACCGTACACGGTTTTGGGCAACTGGGTTCTTTCGTAAAAAAGCACAAAATATTACCGTCGAAAACTCAGAACTGCTTTTTCGGTTTAGTTTGTTGTCTTTCCCCCGCACCTCCGATTACTACGTTTGGCTACGTACGGTGCGAAAGAAGTTCAACATGCATGTGTAACTTTCCGTGGGTCTCTCGCCTAATATGCTCGTGGAAATTATTAACTTTGTGTGCAGCCCTGACGTTGAATAAAACATGTTTACAATATATATATGTATAAGATGTGTGTGTTTGGACACATGCACAAACACACATCTATCCACGAGTGTATACTATACAATGACAATAAACACACAAGGGAAAGCAATATGAAGTGGGCAAGAAAAATAAGCCGGTTGCATTCCAGCTGATGGGTCACAATTCTTAAAACTAAAGGTCTTACAAGTGAAAAAATAACCATCGTATGTTATTTTTTTCCCCAAACGTCAATAACTTTTTTTATCTCACCGTACAGAATTGAGCAACAGATTTAGTAACTTAAAGTGCAATTTCCATCGTACATCAACGCACAATTAGTGTAATAAGCAAGGTTAATGCGTTTCAAATTGTACGAAGCGAACTCCGTGGCTCCATTCAAACAAAAAACTGTAATATATGCACAATATGTAATCTTGGTTCCAGCGGTTAACGTGTAAACGTTGTCGATGTAATGCCATGTAACACCTCCGATTAGCACGGTTGGCTACAAGCGATCCGATTAGCACAGTTGGCTACGTACAGTGTGAAAGAAGTTCAACATACATACAAGTTCAAGATACATGCATACAAGTTGAAATGTTTAGCCTTGTGCCAATCATCCAATGCTCTTTCTCGCCACCGCCGGTGCGTCGACGGAGTGCATGGCGCCGTGCGCCTCCGCTTCGAGTCAAATACCTCGCTCTTAGTGCGATGCCGACATGGACCAGGCACCCTCCATCCGCCATACGGAGAACGCGTAGCTGAGCCGCTCGTGCGCCACGTAACTGCAGCTCGTCATCTTGTTGTCCATCTCGTCACTCTGTAGGACCTGGTAGAGGAAGTCAATGTACCGTGACGCCAACTTGAGCGTCTGGATTTTGCTGAGCTTGTCCGAGGGAAGTGTCGGGATAATTTTTCGGAGGGACGCGAAGGCCTCGTTGAGGGACTGCGTCCGCTGGCGCTCCCTCACGTTGGCCAGCACACGCTGGTTCTGCAGGTCCTCGTACGATTGCGCCGGGGGGCTGCTCTTTTTCCCCTTCTTTCCCGACTGTGGGCTGTCCTCCTCGCCCGACTTCTTGCTGTACCGCCGCTTTCGCCCGAACCGCTTGTGGTGCCTGTCCATCTCCTCCTCGCTGGTCGCAAGGCTGTCCACGGGGGAGCCGGGGGAATGGGACGACACCTCTTCCATCATGTTTTAAGGTCGCACGACAGTCTGAGCCGGGGATCCGCGCTGCTTGTGCGCGTGAAGCGAAGTTGCTGTGGCCTCTGGGGGATGACCAACATAAAACTCTGCAGGGGTCCACACGCGGCGAGACAAATTGGTGATGCGGTGGTCCTCGGCTGAGATGATGCGCTCATCTGAGGCCAGCACTCGGTGTGTTGAGATGATATAGCCTCCCAGCTACCAACACAGCAAACTATTCCTCATCCCACTTTCCCATTGGCTCCAGCGGGAATGATGTCACTCCTAAGGCGGGAACAAAGTTTTGGGGTGCCTCTCTGTGATTTATCACTATATTTTTTAGTGTGCGGACAAAAGTTCAGTCTATTAACAATGCCAAGTTGTTTCGACACTGCCTTTTAGAATGTTCTAGAAGGAAAATTACACTTTTAAATTCAACTGAGAACGTTTGCGAGAAGGCCATTTGTGAATTTGTTATTTGGTTTTCCAACTCATAGAGTATGTGGAACTAATTGAAAGTACTGTAAAAAAAACATTGGCAAAAACATCTTCATGGTTCATTTTCATTTGTTTAGATAATTCAATATTGCCTTAATTACAAAAAAAGTTACATGCTGACCAATGAAGATAAAATAATCATTAGTAAAGTGCACGTTATTGCTTAGGTTGCTTCAACAAAAGATGGGAAACACACGAATAAGTTAATTTCAATTGAAGTTCTGCGATCGCACACAAATAAACCACTGTTAAAATTTACTACAACCACTTTTAATTTTTGTTCTGAACAACCGGTGTTAAAGTTTGTTGTTATCATTTCACATGCATCCGATATGTAATGTGGCGAGCTGGGGAAGCAATCATCTCCTTAAGAGGTGAATGAAATAAAATAGAAGTTTATGCTTTAGATGTAATTACTACCTACGATAATGACAACAAACCACAAATATATCAATATAAAAAAAACGCAGCACATTCTTTTACACTGTAACTTTTAAGCGTCGTATGCTTATGTATATGAAGGCTATGAGCATTTAAACCAGATCTAAAGTTTATATGCACACACACATATTTGCCGAAGTTGCCTTTGGCTTCAGTTATAAATTGTGAGGTTATACCAACTGTTCTACTTAGATTAGGGGCATTTATAGTCGGGCTAAATGCGTCATTACTTCATGGAGAAAACATTTTTGAAGAATTTACGATTGACTTCCGAGCATTCCTTTTTCACCGAGCCTCACGGTTTGGAGTTTTATTTTGCTCCACACTAATTTTCATGAACACAAACATTATACACTGGAGCAGAGCCCTTTAAAAGTTGTGCGCATCACAGGCAGAATGGGGAGAATGGAACTGACACTAAAACACAGGAATCGTTTTTTCGCCATCTGCTGGCAAGGCTGAACATGAAGTCGTCATTCCTGATATTTTATCACTCCCAACATTGCAGGTTTTCAAATGTTCGTACACGATTTTTGTATGAAAGCGTGTTGGCAGACCATCCATGTGTTAATTTATTTTACGCGTTGGATATGTATTGAACAATTACGTCACTTAAAACGTGAATGTTTTAAAGCTGTCAAGGCAACATTAAGATGAACACACATTTAGGCCTTAATTATATCTCCGTCTCATATTATTACTATTTCAGTGTATGCATTGGGATAGGAATGCCGTAGTATTGACTGCTATAAGTTAAGTACTTTTATCCACTGGATAAGAATTCTTGCAATATTAAAACTAAATGATGACAAAAGTTAGGCTGTGGTCAAATGTGTTCAGTGGGTTCAAAATACGATTTAGGACATAAAGACATGAATCTGGAAAAATTCTCACCTCGTATATTACCATGTTTTCGGTTACCTTGGGCAGCTATGTAATTAGCCAATTGCACTGTGTGTGTGTGTGTGTTTTGTGTCACCATAACGATGGAATTTAATGCTATTTTATCATACACGGTAGTGAGCTTTGCCTGCTTTTCACTCACCCTCTCCAAAAATTACCAGAACTTTTAGTTATTGAAATTACGATACGATATTCACTGTCATATTTTGATGGTGGCAGATTGGGGAGGCCTTCATTCATCCAGCAGTGGATGAACCATTGCTGATGACGAGGTTCAAAACACAAAGGTTACACATTTTTTTACACGCAATATTTTGTACAAATAATTCAATTAAGTCAGCGTATCGAAAAGGTTGACACTCAGAACAGAAAATGTGTGCGTCATTTAATGTTTTAAAGCTTTAGTTCACGAATGCCATGGAAGTCATCGTCCGCTCAACTCTTGTGCCCGAGTAAACGACCGCCCCCTACTGACCATTGAGGAACATCGCAAGGGTGTGGATATTGCACCACGTCCATAGAAGCGAAATGTGCTTCGACTCTTCTGAGATTGAACTACAACAACAGAGCCTGACGGGGTTTGCGTTGCGCTTGGATGCCCCTCTGATGAGCTGTAGCAAACCCCCCTGTACAGAGTGGCAGTACAATTCCGTTTTTTTTCCTTCTGTACACTGCCAGCGCATTGAAGTAGCGCAAACAATGTCCCATTACATGAGCAGTGCCCAACTGGAAAGAACACAAGTTAAGACCTTTAATGACTAACATATTTACATTTTAGTGCATGTACGCCGTAGCTGCGTTTGTGGTGTCAGCAATGTTATCGATATAAACACGGAGTACTCTGTATTTTCCTTGGTTGACTGTGTTATTCCACTTGCTGAGCACTGATTCGCTTTTGGCACCCTTACCTCGAGGGCATCAGTGTGATCTCTGACACAATTACAGCCCTGCAAATATTTTATTAATCAACAGATATTTTGTGTCAAACCGGTTAGACGTTCGTTCGTGTGCAAACTTCGCTCATGTGTTATCAGTCTGCATTTTCAGATCAATGCATCCAAATTCGTTGCATGTGTTGCTGCAGAAGATGATCTCTTTAGTTGTGAGCCACGTGTAATCAAGACCCCCTTTGATGTTTATTTCCCGGGCCCATCAAGAAATTGTCATGACCTTCACTGTAAAAAAATTTTTTTACTTATTAATTGATTCTAGTTTCACTTCGCAATTATTCGCAAATCATTCTGCCGATGATTGTTTGTCAGTTCCTTTACGCAAGCATCTGTCATCAACATCAGCCACCGTCTATCTACTGCTGTATGAAATCCTCTGGCCAAACCGTTGCCATCTCTCGCTGTCCTGTGATGCAACAATCCATCTGGCTCCAGCACACGAGCTGATTTCATTGCTCTATCTCCGCAATGGCCGACTGCTTGGGCTTGTTCCCTCTTTTTGGCTGCCACTGTCATTAGACACGACCACTTTCGATCACCCCTTCTAGTGACGGTCAACATGACGTGGATGGGGATGAAAATTATTAAATAAAGAGGCGGATGAGAGCAGGTTAGGAGTGCTAACGGTAAACGCTCACGTGATGTGGACTGGCCCAAAACGGTAACCGAGTCTACAATCAAATGGCAGCGAAGACGTCTCAATGCGAGGCCTGCAAATCGAAACGAGATAAAAAAAATTCTCAAGACAGCCAAATCTTTGTCCACAGATATGTTCGGGTAATAATTAAACAAATTGGAAGTTTCCAAATAAATTGGCGGGGGGGGGGGGTGGCGAGGAGGGAGTGCGTTGGGGGTGGTGTGAAAAAAGGGCCCTAGTGTGTGGAAGAGGATAACACAGGCCCTTTGTGGCCCACAGAACCTGCCGTGTCCATGACGACGGCCCTTTTCCTGCGCTGTGCTGTGTGTGGGGGGGATGGCCACGACTTACGGTGCGATTTCCATGCGTCGAGCCCGGCTCTCCCTGGACTCCAGGGCCGCTTGTTCCTTGCCTGACGGTCGGGCGAGCGGCCACTGGTGACCCCCGTGAAGCTGCGCTGTGGAGTGAGGGGGGAGGGGAGGGGGCACGAACAGCAGGAAGTGTGGAATGGAAAGTTTAATTCGCACACGTGAATTTGACATATATTCAGAATAATACCTTTTTTTGTTGCTTTAATATGGAGCTCTGCGTGGAGAGCATCCCAGGGTGCTTTACAATTAAAAACTTTCGACGAATAAATACACCCATTGGCCAATTGCTCCAGGTGAAAGGTCAAGCTCATGCTAACAGATACATTTTAACATTTTACTTGAGAGATCCGACTGTGCCTGCATTCTTTAAATGACTTGGGACATAATTCCAAAAAGCAAACGATTCACAGACATGTGCAAAGTTATCATGCTAACATTAATGGTAACATTACAAATATTACCTGTAGCCTTAGCCATTTTAAGTACAGTACTATCCTGTATGTATAAGTATAGAGGAACATACTCTTAGGTTTTTTCGGTAAAGTCACGAAGGTAAAAAATAAAATTAATAAAATAAATAAAAAATCTCGACGTTTCGGAGGCAACACAAGCTTCCGTCTTCAGGTGGAACCATCACAGCACGATTGCTGTATCAAGTAAATGAGAAATTCCAAGAGACCCGACCTATGGGGGAACAGTGGTGCAGGCGTTAGCTGCATTTCACTCTCAACCTGGTGACTGGAGTTTGATATCTGACTGACAGAAGTAGCCAGTCGGATCTGAACATGTGCTGGAAGGCCCCTTCATCATCCTGCACTGACTGGCAGTGGACTGACAAAGTGTTATAAAATTAATGCTATATTAGTTTGACTCCTGCATGCGTTGTGACGCCAACATCACAACTATAACGATGAGTGTTGGTGTGCGGTTGTTTACGTAAAAATGTAAGGGAACTGCAGGGATTGTTTAGAAATAACTACAACACAACAATACCAAATCCGAGTAGTGTTTTTTTTGTTCAAATCTTACATCGTTGAAAGTTACGTGCACGTGAATGCAATTGATCTGTTTCAATGTTGACTGTAGCCTTCAGTCAGCAATGTGTACATCTGCTTTGTGACTTTTAAAGGTTGCCAGTAAAAACTCTGCCATAAGACACATGCAAAGAAAAGTACTACGTATAGTATATTAGACTTAAAATTGTTTTTTTTTTATCAAACAGTGATTTTTAAAGTTTTTTTTTTTAATTCAGCAATGGTTTATAGCACGTGGCCTGCTATGTCAGCAGATAAATAATTATTGCATTTTCAATTTAATGGAACTTTATTTTCCTTCTTGGTATATGCTGATGGTAATATAAAATACTTTATGTATCAT